ACTTTACTGTTACTAACTTCTAGAATTTTCCAGGGAGCCAAGATTTCGCACACATGCGTGGATGGCCACGATGACGCGGCCTGTGACAGCAAGACCCTCAAGCGTCACCCGTGCCTGTCTTGACCCACAGAGGCCCTGCACTGAGGGAGGAGGTGAGGGCGGGGGGGAGGGGGGACAAGTGCCAGGAAAGGGGGCAAGGCTGGCAAGAGAAATGGGGCCGGAAGAGGTGGCAGGAGGCTTTGGGGACCTCGCAGAACCATCTGGCCCGTGACACTACTCAGCCCGGGATTAGCTGGGAAACCCCAAGAGTCGGGGCCTCCCGGGAGCCCCGTGGGTAGAGATGCAGCACCGAGCGGAGACTAACTGGGCACTCAGCTGAGACTCCGAGCCAAGACAGACAAGCAGAGCCCAAGCCAGTGTCCACCAGCCTCACCCCGCCGAGTGGCCGTACTGTCTCCCCAGGTAAGGGCCCACGTGGTGCTGGGCAGTCTTGGGCTTGGCCCAGGCCGGCCCTGCCATGGGGACGAAGGGCAGGACAGTGGGCAGGCTCGGGGCCGTAGGGCCTCTCCCTCCAGCTTGGGGGCCACGGCCTTTGGTGGGACTTGGGGGAAAGAGCCCATCGGAGCTCCCGAGTGTCCACTGTCGCAGAGACCCGACTCAGATGCTGCTGCCCGGCTGGACGGGGCGAGGACCAGGGGACAGGAGCCTGGGTGATTTCTGCTGGCTAAAAACTGCGGCTATCACAGCACGGCCAGTGTGGGCTTCCAAGGTTGCGCACGCCTTTGAGCTGTGGTGTGAGCGGGTATGCGGGCCCAAGGTGAGCCCGGCGGTGTGCATCTGTGGTGCAGGGAGCAGGAGGGGTGGGGGTGAGGGCTGGGGTGCGCAGGAGAGCACGTGCTCGTCGCTGGGCTTCCAAAGTGGAGCGTGGCCCCGGTGGACAGCCGTAGTCACCATGTGCGTGCAGAGTCTGATGAACACTTAGAAGATTCTTCTCAGGCCGCTCTTAATGGTCCGCACCTCAGAGCCCACCCATGAAGCTCCGGCTCCCTTTGCTGCAGCTCACACACACACACACACACACACACACACACACACACACACACACTTCAGGCTTCAGGGCTCCCCAGACCTCCCTGTCCTTCCGCTTTTCACAACCCACTAGACCTCAGAACCCAGCCCCTGGCCCCAAGATGCCAGAGTTGTCCCTCGGTCTGCTTCTGCTTCCCACTCCAGGGCCCCTGCAAAAGCATCCCCCAGAGTGCAGGCCCACCCAGGCCAACCGGCCACGACCCCGGCCACACCTCTGCCTGGACCCGCCACCCAGACCGCTCCCACCGGCATCAGTCAGTCCGCCCACACGCCCATTCGCTGGTCAAGTGACCCACCTGCCCTTCTCCCTGAGACTCAGAGGGGAGAAAGGTTTTTCTGCTTAAAGAGCAAAGTCATGGAGAGAGGGAAATGGGAAGTCATTGTTTAACGAATAGTTTTAATTTTGCATGAAAAAGTTGTAGACATTTGCCGTACGATAATGCAAACACACCTTGAACAGGGCTGAACTGTACACAGAAAAATAGCTAAGGGGGCTATTTACAAAAAACGGTGTTTTTTTACACCGTTAAAAATATTCTTTGAAAAAAGAGCCTCCGTTCCTTTGTGGGACTCAGAAGGACTCTCGTCCTCTCTGATCCTCCGTCGAAGGTTTTGAAAAGCATAGCGGGGCCCAAAGATCAGAGCCTCTCAGGGGTGCCCCACTGAGTCAGGATGTCTGGAGACCTGAGAGGCTGAAGAGGGAACGAACAGAGGCAGAAACAAGGACGATGAGGCTGAGGAACGGAGAAGGGACGAGTGGAGACTCGGGGAGAAACTTCCCTCCACTCTCACAAGCTGTATCTTGGTGAAACTTCACTACCGGGGTGGAAACGAAAGACACCAGAGTATGGCCAGGAAGAGGCCGATGTGAAGAGAGGGGACTGGTGAGGACAGACAGGGACAGGGAGAACCCAGCTTTACTCGGGGAGGAAAACTGGACCTGCCACTCACGTCCAGGTAAAGGAAGTCCAAACTGCATACTGGATGACACGACCCAAAAAAACACCCATAGCAATGATCCCGCCCTCTTGGAAAGGTTTTCTTTCCTTTTTTTTAATTTATTTATGTATGCATGTAGAGCTGGCTTCCAGGCCAGAGGTGCGGGTGAGAGGATCCGCCAGAGACAGAGCGGGGAGCAGGACAGGCGGGCTGAGGGGAGCAGCGGGCGGCCAGGAGAGGTCTGCTGCGCCCTGGGGTCACCTCCAGGGCGGGGATCCAACCCGCTGCAGTGGCTGTAGACAGCTTCATAGTGCTGCGCTTTAACCCACTGCATCACCAGGGAGGGCCCTTCAGAAAGGTTTTCTAAGGGAATAAGTTAACCAAATGAGCCACACTCCAATGTATCATGTGCATCATTATCTAAAATAGCAAAAGAGAAAAGGAGCTTTAATTGCAAGAGAATGAGAAGTAATTGTTAAATGGTAGCAGAGACGGGCAGCGAACCACTGAGTTCACGGAAAAATGCTTCAAGCACACAAGAAAAAGGAAAGGGAGAGGCAAAATATATTACACTGTGCTGACAAGCGTGTAGGTGAGCACCGCAGGACAAGCCTCGGGAGCAATCTGTAAGGGAGAAGAGATTTTAATGAAATCATCGACTTAACTCCAAACAGTTTTAATTTGACAAGGGACATTTTAAAAAATCCAAAAGCAATTTTGTGGGGGCGCAGTGGGGAATGGGATCAAAGGGGGGAGGGGAGTGCACGGGACTATGGCGATGGCACACGGGTGACTCGGTGATGGGAAGCCCACGGGGATGACACTGGGATGAAAATAAAATGTACAAAATGAT